TCTCATATAGAGATAAGTTAAATTTAAGCTATATTTAATTTATTTTGAATTACTAGTTGCTAAAATATAGCTTATTTAATTTTACTATATAAAATTTTAGAATATATATTATAGATTTATATAAGTACAAAATAGTTTATAACTTTGTCAATATTAATCTATATAAGAAGTAATAATTACCTTTTGATTTATCTTATAAAGATGAATTCAATAAGTTATATTATGTCTATTTTAAATCACTAAATACTAGATATCTTAAAATAACTATTTTTTCAATTTTTTTCAATATAATCTGAAAACTGACCTGTGATCCAATCTAACCTGATGTTTTGAATTAAGTAAAGTAGAATACTTGATTCAATTTGACCTATTCAAAATTCTAGCTAGATATTATATTTGAATTACATATTTTAAATATTTGTAATCTTATTAGATATAATAAATAATAAGCCTTTTTTTTTTTATTTAATTATTCAATTATATAAAATTTTTTTTGCTTCAAAATAAAGTTTTTTTTTTAAAGTTTTAGTATATTTATTATTTTTATTTTCTTTTTCTCATTTATTACTTTACTTTATCTATTTTCCTATTATTGAAATATTTAAATTAAAATATTTGCTATAGCATTTCTTCTATATTTTTAAGCATACTTAACTCTATTATTTTCTTTAAGTTAATAAAATGTATAATGTCTTATACCTATTTTTTATATACCATTTTTTTAATAGGTAATAAAAAAAAATTAATTCTGATAATCAATAAATACTATTTAATTCTAACATAAATTGAAAATTTATATAAATTTAATTTAGTTACAGGAATTATCTTTCATTTTAGTTTTTAAGATAAACAAAATTTTATATTTAAATACTTAAATTTGTGAATGTTTAATTTTAGTTTATATAATGTTATAGTAAAAATGATAGAGATGCTTAAATTTGATAAGTACTTAAATTTGAGATTTTATAGTACATTAAATTTTTTTTTAATAAAATTTTAATTACTTATTCTAAACTATATGTTATTTATTAAAATTAATATTTTATTTGTATAATTTTTTAAAGCTCTTCTTAAGTTATTGATTCAAGTTTATCCTTTATTAATTTTATATAAATACTAATTTTTCAGTTATTAATATTATAATATAATAATATAATAATAGATTATTTAAAGAAAATAAATTTTATATAAATATTATAAATTAATATAATTTTAAATAAATAGAATACTTAATAAAAAAAAACTTAAAATTTACTATTAATAAATTAATATTCATTTTAAGATAGGTATTTAATTAATATATAAAAAAATTGTAATAATATTAATATTATAAATATAAATATTCTATAAATTTTATTTAATATTAATAAATTATTTTAGTGATTAAAAAGAAAAAAGGTTTAAAAAATATTAAAAATGTAATAAAAAGATGATAAATTAAATTGTATATTAAATTCTTTTAAAATACAATTAAGTTCTTTATATTCTATATTATATAACTATTTAAATTCTTTCTAATAAAAATATAAAATTAAAATAATCAATTTATATTATAATTATTTAATATTATTTTAAAACTTATCTAAAGAATTAAAAAATTATTATATAATATTTTTAAATTAATTTTAATATTTAAAATTATTATTTTACATTTAATTTGTTTTATATAATAATAATTATTTTAATATTTATTAGATATCAGTAAAAAAAAATAATATATTAATTGCTATTATATTAAATAAACAAAGTATTAAAAAATTAAGCTTTTTATAAATTTTTATAAATTTTTAAATATATTAGTATCATAGATTTATAGATTTATATAATTTTGCAGTTTTATATTACTATAATTTTATATAATATTTATATTATATCTTAAAGTAATTATTATTTTTATATTTTATCATATAATTTTATATATTGTTAATAGAAGAAATTATAGCTTATAATATCATATAAAATTTGCTAATCAATGATAATATTATGTTAGATGATCTTTTAATTATGTCAAATAGTAATTAAATTAATTTCTATTTTGTCTATTTATTTTGTATTTTCTATATAGCCAATTATTTTATTTATTTAGTTTTATCTATTAACGTTTATAATTTATTTATTACTTTTTATTAATTTTATAATTATTTTATTTTTATTATTTATTATGTTTAAGTATATTTTTATTATAATATATATTTATATTTTAATTAGTTTATAATGTAATAAATAGTTAGCTATAATAAATTAATTTTATATCAATATAAAAAGTTTTAAGTTATTTAATAAAGAAATTAATTAAAATTTACAAATATTATCTTTTCTTTTTAATATTATTTCTTTAAGATTTATTGTAATATTCTATATTAATTTTTTAAGTTTATTATTTAAGATTAATTAAATAAATCTTAAAATCTAAGATATATAAATTGTAGAATTAATTTAAATATAATAGATATCTATAGAATATTCTAAAATTGTAACTTTAATAATTAGAATTAATTACTGTAACTTTTTAATTAAATATTAAGATAATTAAAAACAAATTTAATAATAATGTATTTACTATTTTACAAATAAAAATTTAATTGATTATCCATATTTTATTACAAAATAGTTATAGCATTAAAGAGATTATCAAAGAATTTTATTTTAAAATTCATTTTTATTTAGAAAATAAAAATTATTTTATATATTTATAATTATGTAATTAATCATAAATATAAATCTATTATTAAACTTAATAAACTTAATAACTTATTTTTAAAAAAAAGTAGATAATAATGCTAAAGTTTTACTATCAAGTATTTATTAAATTAAATAAGAAAAACAAAAAATAAATTTATATTTTGTTGAAATATTCACTAAAACAAATATTTATTTAAAATGATTAATAAATTTAAACCTTTTTTTAAAATATTATAATAATGATAAAATTTTCATTTATATTTTATATTTATATTAATATTAAAAATTAAAAATTAAAAGTAAAACAGTTATTAATATAAATTATATATATAAAAAATTTTTTTAACTATTTTAAAAAATATATTATAAATGAATTAACTAATCAAAATTCTAAAACTATAAATAAAATAAATAGTTATAAAAGAGGTTTTCTTAATATAATATTTAGTTATCATAATAAAAAAATTAGTAAATATTATTTTTAAAGAAATTATAAAATAATATAATTATTACATAAACTTTTATTAATACTATTCATTTCTATAATATTTCTTTTATAAATTTAATATTTTTTATTAGTGATAATAAAAAAAAGCTTTTACTAATATTTATTTTTATTAATCTTCATAATATATATTTTGCTTATATTTATAATCTTATAAATAAAACTTTAAACATTTTAAATTATTAAATATTATAATAAAATATATTAAAACATTATTTATATACTCAATAACAAAAAAAAATTGGAAAGAATATTTGATTTCAAAATCTGTTTTTTTTAAAATATAAATGAAAATTTATTTAATAAATAATATACAAGATTTATTTATTAATTTACTTACTTTATTTATTAAAATTAAATAAAATTTTTAGTTTAAATTTTTAATTTAAATGAAAAATTATTATTAAAAATTAAAAAAGATTTTTTAAAATTAAATTTAAAGTTTTTATATAAATATTTTAATTAAATTTATTTTAGTTAATATATAAAATAAATATTAAAATATTTTTATTATTTTATTATTACTAAAATATTAAAATTAAAATTTTAATATTTTTTTAATTAATTTTAGATTTTAAATTTTTTTTAAATAAGAATATAGTTAATATTTCTTTAGTTACTTTAAAAATTAAATAAATAAAAACATTTTTATAAAATAAAATAAATAGTGTAGAAATTATTTACTATTATTTTATATATAAATACATGTTGAAACCTCTTCAAAATAATTTTACAATATTATTTTTTATACTTTTAATACAGTTTTAATTTTTATTATGTCAGAAGAGTTTTATTATATCTTTTATTATGATTATAATATAGCTTTATTTAAGTTTAGTCTGTTATTATGAGATTTTGTCTCTTTTCTATAATCTTAGAATTATCAAATTATAAATATTTTATTTCAATTTTTTTGAAATTTTTGAAATAATTTTTGAAAATTTAAAATATATAAATCTTTATTCTACTTTATTATTATTTGATATAATTTAATGTTTTAATTTTCAATTTATTCAATTATTTTAATTAATTATAATCTAATACTAAAATTTAAAATTATAATTTTTGAGGAGGTTGATTAAAACTTAAATTAATATTGATAAAAAAAAAAAGAATTCTTTCAAAATTTATCAAGCATAGCATTAGTTTATACTTGGTTATCTATATTAGAAGTAATGTTAAATACAATTATTTTAATTATAAAAGATTTTTAAATAATAAACATAATTATTTTCAGAAAATTTTATTGAAATATAGAGTTTGTAAAATTACAAATTTTTTGTTACAAAAAAAATCAAATTTTTGAATTAATCATATTATTGGAAACAATAAGAAATTCAACTTTAATTTTAACAAATTTATATATTATAATCAACATATTTATAAAATATTTCAATTAATTATTAAAGTAAGGCTTTTACTTTAAATCTTTATAATAGGTTATAAATGGTTTTAAAATAAAATTACATTTGAATATTCACTTTTATATATAAAACTGGATATTTAATTTAAGAATCAAATATTTCTTTAAACAAATCGATAATTTGCCGATATCCGCAATGAAATTAATTTTTGAAGCACGTGGAGAATTGCGCAAAAATGAAAAATCAGGGCTATTTTTAATGATAAACAGATGATGTCTATAAATATCTATGAAAATGTACGACCCGAGAAACTGTTTCAAAAACCTCTTTAAAAGTTTTAACCTTTGTCTTGAAATAAGGGGGTTTTAAATATTAAGCTTAATATATTTAATACCTTGGGGCAAAAATTTTTATTTTGATATTAATATTTTCATTTTAAAGTTAAGCAAATGACAGTCTTAAACGAAACTAGATTCTTGAAAGAGAAGGACGGAGATGCTCCTAATATGCAAGATCTTGAAAAAGCAATGTCAACAGCTTTTCATAAGTTTGCAGATTGTAGACAAATAAAAATTGATCATAGTAACTTTATTTCCGACAAAATCAGAGAAATTGAAGAAGTAAGCGAAAGTTTTAAAGAATACGCGAATAACTCAATCAATCAAAGTGATAAATTATCAAAATATGCTGAAGAAGTTGTCGATTTTGCTGTTGCTTGTGCTGATCCAAGTTTTACTAAAAGAGAAATTTTAGATTGTTTGAAAGTAACTTTGAAAGATGCCAAAAACAATCACACCGAAGCAGAATACTTAAAAGCACAATTCAGTGGAATCGCAGCAAATCTAATCAATGTACATAATGAATGTTTTAATTATGCCGAAAAAATTAAAACAGATGCTAGAAAAATTGATTCAACAACTGTTAACGAATTAAAAAAAGTAGAATCTAAACGAAGAAAGTTTGATATTGCGAGCAAAGTTGGAGCCGGATTTGCTATTCTGGGTGGAGTAGTTTCTATATTTGCGGCACCGGTTACTGGAGGTGCTTCTTTAGTTGTTGAAGGTATAGCTCTTTTTGAAGGAGGATTAGTCGTGGCTGGATCCACAGGCGCAATTGCTCTAGGATCGAAATTTGTTTCCAATAAAAGTAGCAATGAGGTTGATACTCTAAATAAGCAGTTGACCATAGAAAGAAATCGTTTATCTTCTAACATTAAGCTATTGAATCAGAATCTTGAGTCAATCATTGAAGAAACTTCTGGAATAGTAAATTTCTGGGGCGAACAAATTACTTCTCTTAACGAACTCATCGAGAAGCTTGAGCGGAGTGATAAAAAAGATGATGAACGTCTCTCAAGAATAGAAGCGCTTTCCATTCAAAAGAAATGGAAAAATGTTAGCCGAGGGTGCAAAGAATATAATCGTACCATTAGGACTGTTTTGCAAACTTCTAATCTGGTAAATACAATAAATTTTAACTTGTGATTTAATTCTTATTTATAAATTTATAACATATTTATTTTTTTTATTTCGTTTTTCTTTTACATGGAAACTTGAAATTTAGAAAATTTCCAATTAATTTTATCATTCTTTACGGAAAATGTTGTAAATTTTGTTCAGTATATATACTTTATTTATTTCTTAACTTTGAATAAGTTTTTAGCTTATAGATATTTTTTTATAGGATAGTAAGTTTTTTACATTTATTAAGTTCTCGTGCAAAGTACTCGCACAATTGATATAGTCTAACTTGTGTAGGATACATTATACGATACTATCATCTATGTTTACGGTGATTACTTATATATTTTAGCACAAGCTCAAAAAATAAAATAAATCCTTGAAACTTTATCTAAATACTTAGTCCGCATTCAAGTTCTAACTAATATTAAACATAATCACGTATTATTAGCCGAATAAAGATACATAGTAGTTTAATCAGATAAATCAGTTCGAATGATTATATATTTCAAGAAATACAATTCTTTTACTAAAGTGATCGTTAATGTCAATTTTTGAATGTAAACCATTTTGTTATATTCTTTTTTTATATTTTATATGTATGACACATTTAATTTTAGCAAAATTTATATTAAATATTTATGTAATAATTTATATTATTTTTTTCTACATTATTACAAAATTAAAGTTTTGTAAAATATTATGATTATACTTTAATTTAACATTATTATTTTTTTAAAATAATTAAAATAATTGATCTTTAATTTATTTCTTGTTTTTTTAAAAAAATTTATTTTTTATTATTAATTAGTATAATAATATTTTTGATAATTATTTTTTTTCTTTAATTAACAATTCTTTTTTTTATATATATAATATTAATTTTATTCAAAATTTAACTTATTATCTATTGTATTTTTAATGATTAATTATTATATTTCATAAAATTATATAAAATTATATAATATTACATATAGTGAATTATTACATAATAATAATATTAGTATTCTTAAAATTATTAATTCTATTTAAATATTAGTTAATAAGCTAATTAAATTTCTTTAATTAAAATTAATTAACATATCTATTTGATCATGATTTTTAATAAAATACAATAAAACATTTAATTAATTCAGAATGTAATATAAGATTATTAAATATGAGAATCAATATTATATATATCTATCTATCACCTGCTCTTTATTTAAATTGATATTTATTGATACATATTTATTTTATTACTAATTTATTACATTATTTTATTATGAATTTAAAATACATTTATTCTAGACTTGCAAATAGTTTCTATTATCTAGTTATATTAGTTAAAATTAAAATTTATTATTAATTTTATTTTATATATCTTAAATACTAGATACTGTAATTATTAATTTAATTATTATATTTATATTTTATTTATTTTTTTTTTTTTATTATAATAATCATAATATTAGTATTATCTTTTATCATATTTACTTTATATAATATTTTTATTTACAATAATCTTTTTCAATTTATTAAGATTTTAGAAGTAAAAAAAGTTAAATTAATTAAAATTAGATTATATTACATTTAATAATTAGGCTGAAATATTAGTATAGAACTATATATTTTTATATAATATGACTCAAAATGTTTAAATATTTATCTACTAAATAATTGAGTCAATACTAATTGGCTTTTACAATATTTTTTTTTAGTTAAGATTATTTCAAACTTAATAATAGTCTCTGTTTTCTAATTTTTAGTTTATTAGATTTAACTAATTAAGAAAATTTGAATTTTTTTTTTTAATGATATAATATTGTTATAAGTTTAAATTTATATTTAAAATATGAGTAAATTTCACAGATACAATATTATCGCCTCCTTTTTGTCACTTGTATCACATTCCCCTTTCTTTTTCATTTTTCATATATATTCTAAGAACTTAGAAATTTTTTTATATGTGAAACCTTATTTGTCACATTTGTAAATGTCACATGACTTAGAGTTAGTTAGGTTAAGGTTAGGGTTAGGGTAAGGTATATTTATAAAGATGATGTATATAGAATATTACTTCTTGCGATGAATAAATTTACTCTTAAAATATTTACAAATATATAAAAATAAAAATAAAAAATAAAAATTAATTTATGACTATCTTCTATATTTTATTTCAAACTTATTTGAATTAATCAATTAATAGAATTTCTTTTTAATAAAATTAAAAGATTTATATCTAATGCTTAAATTTTTAATATGAAATTCAAATAAAATTGCTAAATATTTAAATGATTTGTAAATTATCTAAATAACAAAGATAAAATTTAATAAAATTATATCAAACCTTATTAAAAATTTACAAAATTTAAAAAAAAATAAAATTGTATTAAAATCTTAGTAAAAATTAGTAAAATTAAATTTAGACATTTTGTCAAATTTAAAAAGAATTTAGATAAATAATCTTAAAATTTAAATGAAAAATATCAGTACTTATCTAATCTAAATAAGAAAAACTAAATTTTAAAATTACAATAATTCAAATTTTTTCAGATATTAAAAGATTTAATAAAGATTAGTAGTTTAAAGATTTGTTTAATTTTTTCTTTCTGATTTTTTATTAAATATTAATTAATTTTATTCTTTTAATTTTAGTTTTTTTATTATATCTTGAAAATTAATTAAATTTTAATTATAAAATATTATAATAATAAATTAGATATAGATATTAAAATATTTTTTAAGTTCATTATAGAAAAATCTTTTTTAACAAATAAAATAGATTAATTAAAATGTTTTTTTTAATATAAAAAATATAAAATTTCAGATTAATAAAAGATTTTAAGAAATTAAAGATCTATAAATAAATTAAAATATATAACAAATTTATAAATGATAAATATTTTTATAAATATCATATTAAATATAATATATAATTTAGATATTTAATTATTAATTTTTTATAATTAATAATTTATTTATAAGTTTAAAGATTTTTTATATTATTAAATAAAAGAAATTATTTATTGATATATTATTATATTTGAAAGAAAAATATTAAAAAAAAAATAGATTAAATAATTAAAAAAAATATAATAGGCTAAATTAGTAAAAAATTTTATTTAAGTTTAAAAAAAGAAAATTAAGTAATTGTATTTAAATTTTTTTAAAATTTTTTTTTATCATTAATTCTATAAGAAATTTATTAAAAGTAAGATATAGATATAAATTATTGAATGCTATATAATTCAAATTAAGTAATATCTTAAAATATTTTAATTTAATTAAAATATCAATCTTATCATTATAAAAATTACTAAAATTTTCTTTAATTATAATTAATTTGACAGATAATAAAAGTTTTTGATGATAATAACTAAATAATATAAATTAGAAATTTTTCTTTTAACTTTAATTATAAGAGATTTCTTTATCTATTTAATAATCAAATTTTTTTATAATAATCTGATTATAAAGAAAAATTATTAGTAAAGAATATAATAAATAAATAATAAATACTATTTATATAAATATAAAAGTTAATAATTTTACAATAACTGTTACTAAATATATAAAATTTTATTTTGATTTAACTATTATTTATATAGCTTTTAATTAATTTCTCCCTTTTTATTAATGTAATAATAGTAGAAGATGTAGAATAATTGAATTAAGAAGTTTTATTCACCTACTTCTTTTAAATTAATATAGATAAATATATAAAGTAATTAGATGATTATTTCATAATATACTTCTTTTTTACTGAGTAAACTTTTCAATAATTATAGCTTTACTTGTATTATATATAAGCATATAACTGATTGAGAGAAGAGAATTCTAAGTTTTTCTCATTTTATAAGAAGAATTTCTATAAAGATCAAGTAAAGACATTTTGTTTAGCATATAGCTATTACACTGTATATTATATTTATCATTAAAAATAGGATTAATTTTAAATTTATCAAATTTTAATTAATAAATATTATTATATTAAAAAGGATTTCATCATCATTCTAATTGAACAATTCGTTATCATTCAAGAAGAATAATTGTTATTGATTAATTAGAATGGTATCTCAAATTATTAATGTAATATTAATTATAAAAAATAAGCTGCAGTTATTTGTAAATATGAAATGCTTAGTAATACTATTAAAGTATAGTAAATTGCATATTATAATAAAATTTATAGAGTTAAAAGTTTATATTTGCTTATTTGATAAAAAAGCATTTTATAATATACGAGTTAAAAGTTTCTATTTACTTATTTGATAAAAGGCATATTATATATATAGAAAAGAATATGAAAAAATATTCTAAATTAAATTTTAAAATTAGATTTAATAAAAATCTCATAAACTACAACAAAAATTGGATTTAGAAATTAGAATGATATGATATTAAAATGATTTCAGATTTCATAACCGAAAAAAAAAATAAATAAAGGAATTGAACAAGCATGTGAAGAAATAATTAAAAATCGGATAATTCTAAATATCGCACTACGCCACGAATTAAATTTTTTATTTTTAGTAAAACCCATCATCATATAATTTATTTATATACAGCAATTATTTGTTTTTGGAGGCTTTACATTTTCACAAATTAATTCTAATATTCCAAATTTGTAGACGCACATCGGAATTTTTCGTGGACTACGTTGATCTCAAAACAAAAGCGGTTAGTGTGCAAATATGCCACATTTTTGAATAAAAACTTGATACCTTTCCCTTATGTATCTCATTTTACAATACAATAATTTAATTTAACATTACATTCTTTAAAGAACAACATTAGAGTAAAATGTTGACTGAAACCTCACCTCTTCTTCAAAATCTTAGCGTAAATCAAGCCATACGATCGGATGAACAAAATGCAAGGAAGAGACCTGAAAATGAAGTATTGATTGAGGCTGAAATAGATACGGGAGAAGTCGAAGATGCATTTTCATGGAGAAAATTATGGAAATATACCGGTCCCGGTTAGTTTTTAATAGAGCATATTAATTAATTAAGTATTGCTATTCAGAAAAGAGTAGTTTATCTGAAAATTTGCCTTTTCCACCTTGAAACTTTTTACTTAACAAGTTCATGAAAATAAATCATCTTACAAGTAAATGTAAGGATCATTCTTTGATAATTCATTTTTTTTTTAAAAAAATTTCAAGGATTCTTAATGTCTATAGCATATTTAGATCCGGGTAACCTAGAAGGTAAACATATATTTTCAATGTAAATGTTGTAAATAAATTGATATAAAAAGCTAAATTTTTTTTTTTTTTAAATAATAATAATAATAATAATAATAATAATAAAATTTATTAAGCCGACCTTCAATCTGGTGCATCCGCAGGATATTCATTGGTATTATTACTTGAGAATTTGTTTATTAGTTCCAAATTGCTTAGTTTTTAATTGAATCATCTCGAATTTTGCAATAAAACAAACGTCTTTCAGCTCTGGTTGCTGTTAGTTGCACATATTGCTGGTCAATTAATACAGTGTTTGTCGGCTCGATTAGGGGTTGTTACAGGAGAACATCTTGCACAATTGATTAAACAACATTATTCGCGTCCAGTATCTATTGCATTTTGGATAATAACAGAAATTGCAATTATCGGTTCAGATATTCAAGAAATAGTTGGCACTGCGATTGCTTTCAGAATTATTTTTGGAATCCCACTTTGGGTAGGAACATTGTTAACGGCAATAGACACGTTCACATTTATGCTATTGCAAAATTACGGCGTAAGGAAACTTGAAGCAGTATTCATGGTGTTGATTGGGACGATGGCGACGTGTTTTTGGATTGAAATGTATATGTGCAGTCCTGACGTTGGTGAAATAATTAAAGGTTCCTTAATTCCTATTATACCAAGGAGTGCTTATGTACAAGCTGTAGCAATGATAGGCGCATGTAAAGTGTTTTATTTTTTTTTTTTATTTATTTTTATTTATTTATTTTATTTTATTTTTTTAAAAAAAAGGAAGCAAAGTTTGAATTAATATTAATTGATCCTTCACAGTTATTATGCCGCATAATTTATACCTTCATTCTGCTCTGGGTAAGTGGAATATCACGTGCTGATTCTTATCGTGTAACAGCAATAGAAATTAACACCTTTTTTTTTTAATAAATTTAGTGATGACGCGTAAAACCGATCCTTCATCTTATTCCAAAATCAAAGAATCAAACTTTTATTTTGCCATAGAGAGTGGAATCGCGTTATTTTTTTCATATTTAATTAACATGGCGATTGTTGTGGTTTTTGCCCGAGTTTTTTATTCACCTGACGAAGATAAACCTTTACCAGGTTTGTTTGACGCGGCCGACGTTTTATCAAATACTTTAGGAGGTGCATCCCGGTATTTATGGGCACTTGGTTTGTTGGCAGCTGGAAACAGTTCCACCATAACAGGAACTTTGGCTGGGCAATTTATTATTGAAGGATTTTTTGGAAAGATCTTTAGTAAATCATGGCATCGTTTAATCATAACACGATCCATTGCCTTGGTGCCTTCTATGCTTGTAGCTGTATATTCGGTAAGGTATCACATAAATGATTGACGGGGGGGTTTTTTTTATTGTATATATATGTTAATTATTTATATTTAGGTAAATGATTTCGATAATATGGGAGAATTTTTAAATGTTCTTCAAAGTCTTTGTCTTCCTACGGCGTTAATTCCATTAATGAAACTTACTAGTTCAAAATCCGTCATGAGTAAAAGTTTTCAAACGAGTAATATATGGAAATATATTTCATGGATTTTAACTTTAATTATTATTGGAACGAATTTAATTTTATTTTTAATGTATTTAAATGAAGTGCCAAATTCATTTTTAGGGTATATTTGTGGAGGGATTTACTTTATTTTTATAACTTATATTGCCCTTTTACCTATAAAAGAAGAAGCAACTCTTTGAGAATTTTTTTTTAGATAAACTTTTAATAAACAATATTATTTTCTAATGTCCAAAAGAGCTGTAGATTCTTACTTTCAAAGGAAAGTATGTCATGGTTTTCTGAACGCATTCGCCTTCAGAGAATTAATTTACCACGTCGTACGTTGTGTAAGCTGTAATTAAAATTTTTTTATATGTTGTGCGTCAGATAGACCCATAATTTAGACCAGTCGGCATCTGACGCAAATCGTCATTTGACGCACAACATATATATATATATATAATAATGATTAAAAGATCCTCTCTTGATCGGCCGATCAGGACGAATTAAAAATTTAAACAATATTATTGATTACGTATTTCCATATTTAAATGACAATTCGATTCCTTTTTTTTTCTCTAAATAAAAATTTATTTTCATTCTAATACTGATAAATGATAATATTGATTCCCCATGAAGGATTTTTCGTCGTCATCTTTCATGTGTAGTAAGAACGCGGTTTTCCGAATTGTGTGGCGAAGCAAGACCGACCTTGCTTTTAATTTAATTTAATCTATGACTTAATTCAAAGATTAATATTATAATAAAACAAGCAAATAAAATGCCTTTTATATTTTATTCCAACCGATTTTACTCAATATCGATCAACATTAGTTTGGGCCGAAAATTAAACGAACGCATTTAGTATTTATATTAGAATTATTAGATACACAAATACTCAAATAAACAAAATACAATTATGAGACGATGATGTCCTTAAAGCTTGAAGCAACAAAAGGCTGGAACACGAGGAATGATCAAACATTGTTATGACCGTGAATCTAATCATAAAAAAAGATGAAAGGTTTATAAAATTAAAAAATTAAATAAACTAATAAATGACAAGTCGTTTATGTATTATCTTTACCGTAATCATCGCATCTCGATTCAAAACAGCTTGAATATTAACGGTAAAATCTAATGCATCCTTACGTACTGCTTTTGACTTTGAGGCAATTGATTTCGCTTCAAGTTTGTTAATGCGCTTTCCAACTTTATTATTGTTTTCCAGTCTGAGAATAATACATTGAATGGTATTAATCTGCAGGGTCCAATAAGAATCGACTATACTCAAAAGGTCCATAACACTTGAAAGACCACTCAACATAGATTTTAAATGATCAGATATGGTACATCTATTACTCTTCAATTGATAATCGAGTCTTACATAGTTAATACCCGAAATCGCTGTAAGGATTCCAGTGACACCTGTGGAGCCTGCAATAGCACGAAATAAAATTGTGCTAGTCCCGCCCGTTAAACCAGCAGCAGCTGTTCCTAAAATAAGTGCGCCTAGAGTAAGTCCGAATCCCTTCGTGACTGAATCCGCTTGGTTTTTTTGATTAGTAATTTTTTCGATTTGTTCGCGTTCTTTCTCTCAATCTTTTCATTGTAACAATAAATTTCATCATTAATATGGCTTATGGAATTTTTAATGGAGTCTAGTTGACCTTTTAATGATTCAGATTTCTCCTTGTTAATATTAGCCTCATTTAATAACTCTCTTAAATAATCCAATAAATCATCAGTACCAATAGTTGTATCTTGACAGTTGTCAGAGAATACAATCAAGTCATCGGCAAGAGAAGAAATTACATAACTTTGTTTTATTGAGCTTTCGGAAAAAGCTCGAAATGCTGTACGCTGAGTTGAAATTTGATCAATCTTTTCTTTAATAAAGTTATCTTCAACTTGAAATTGTCTAAGCCAAGAGAAATGTGCCACAGATTCAATAATGCTTTTTTGTAAAGCATTTATCCCGATAGAATCATCATCATTAGATATTTCGATAGTGTTCGTCATAATTATTATTATTTTTTTTTTTTTAAAAAAAAAAAAAAAAAGAACACGCACTTAGATTTTCTTTATATCAAATTTTTTTTTCCACTTACGCGCAAACCACTTAAATAAGTACATCATTGAAGCACATGTGATAGTCACGTGAAGCACGATTTCACAGTTATTTCTTTTTTTTTTTTTTTTTTTACAAATTATATATTTTTTAATGAAATAAAGAATTTACAATATATAAACAGGATTCACGATATAATAAATATCATAATTACATCGAAAATAAAAAGCACCAAAGATAACAATTTGAAGAATCACTAAAAAAAAATAATAATATATAAATTAGAATGAATGAATTTTTTTTTGATTTAATAAAATTACGTAAAACTTACATCAATGGATAGGAGAGAATTACGAGTTACAAGATCTTTCAGGCGAATATGATTCGTTTTGCATACATTAAGTTGTTTCGTCCAAAGTTCTTCAATTGGAATGACTATTTGTCGCGGGATTTTATATTCCTTATTCTTATCCACTGATTTTAAAGTCTCAATATGCGCTTCAATGTTAATGATTTGATTATCCCAAAATTGGTCTAAAATCCCAACGTTCTGAACGATAATAGGAAGCTTTTCTTTAATTACCAAGATTTTTTCATTTTTTTCAATGTTTTGTTGTCGTTTTATTTCCTCAGTTCTTTTTAGTGGTTTACGTTGTTGACCATTCCCGAAAAATTTCATCCACCAGCGATATTGTTTGGGTTTAAATTGCCACAAAAGTCCAAACATTAAGAAAAAAGCCGCAAAACTCAAAAAACCAGCTGATGGTATGCTAATTCTATGATCCGTCAAACCTGGAGATATATTTTCCGGAATCCTTGACTGACCATTACAAGGTAAAGAAGAATAAGATTCAACGTAATTGAATGTCTCAGAAGAAGAAGCTGGTTCCGAAGCTGGTTCAGTTGTAGATTTTGAAGCAGAATGTGGGTTCGTAATATTTTCCTTTGATTTATTTCCCTTAAAATAATTAAATATGTTGTTGATATATGATGTAAGCACTGATGCATCTGATGAATCATCGTTAATTGATGTCCCGCAAAAAGGGTTCGGTTCACTAGTATGATAATAGGAATTGCTATCTTTCGAAAAATCATCATTCAATAATTCATCTTTCGGAAAATCAACTTTCGTTTCATCAGCGGGAATGTCAGAACTTTTTTGATTTTGTTCGTCAGGCTTACGAACTCCACTGTCTACACTTTCTTCAATGAAATTTAATAAGAAAGTGGTAAACGCGGTGGTGGAAAGAAATTGGTGGATGACATTTGATCCAAAATTACTGCGAGTAAATTTGAAAACACTATAACCAAATAATGCCGATATTACACCAATTTTTAAAGACTCTAGAGACATGAATTTTCTAGAGGGAGGGTTTCTGATGACGATTTGATTCTCGGTTGAATGATAACTTGGGACACTAGTAACATATATTGGGACATTGTCAACTTCTTTATTAAATCTTTCAAGAAATTCTTCGTAATTTTTTTTCAATTTCTTTGTATTTTTTTGTCTAATTTGTGCCGTATCCAATAAAGAAGATAAAGTTTCAAGGATTACTCCTATACTTGTATTTTCCTTTGAAAGTAATTGTATATATATAATAACATCCTCGATATATAATGAGAGTCTTAGCGATTCTACAGCTCTCTCTTCAGTTAAAGTGTTAAATTCACGACTAAAATTTTCAATTTTATCGTCATTTGTTCGAAGTTTGATATCCAAAATTCTACATTTATTCAAAGCTTCTAACGTTACTTTGGTTCGACTTTCAAGAATATCAAGGGACGGGAAATTTGGAGTTTCCCATAAACTTAAATTTATCGTCGTCATATTCGAAGGTTAAAAGGGAAAAAATATATATATGTACATTTTTCCTTTTTTTTTTTTGAATCAATCTATAATTGAATTTTTATTGTCACACAAGGAATTTATACCCTAAAAAAAGAGGGATAACCGAACATATTAGGAAAAAAAATATAAATAATGAACGCGACAACTATTTTATGCTCCTAATAATCATCAAACCAAATTCGGTAGAAAATAAAATTCGTTATAGGAATTTTTTTCTTTATTTATATGAAATGGTTACATTAAGAGTTTTACGTTTCTCTTGTTTCTCTTGTCACAAGATTACGTACTCTGATTTTTCCCCACCTAACGTTAGCATTCGACAAAGCTAATTGAGTATCGGTTCTCACTTGGATCAAAATATTAATCGATTATATTGAGAATCTCAATAAAAATTGTAATTTCCCATTCGAATTCTAAAGGTTTGATACCTTTAAGTATTTGTTCTATATTCATTTCTCTCGTCAACGCTACTTCAAAATCTCTTACCTCTTTTATTTCTCTTTTTATCTCTAGTGAAATGATATATGCTAGGCGCGCAACCATAATTCTTAGGAAAAAACGAGGCATCATCTTTCTTCTTTATATTCAATTTCCACAAACAAGTTTGGACAAGCATTGTATGATTGCTAAACATCTAAACTTCGCCTTAATTTTTGTAAAATTTACTGTAATTGGTAAAATTTGTTGCTGATCATCACCAAAATTATAAAAGCACGTGTTCATTTTTTAAAAGTAACGCGAAATTTTTAAATGCCATATTGCCAAATTGTGATAAAAAATGTTATCAAAAGTATTGTTTAATTAAATTTGAAAAATTAAAGCAAAAGTTTATTTTATATTATCTATATAATAAAGAATAATAAACTTTATATATTTAATATTGATGATTACCATGCAACTCACAACTGGAACATCCTTTCTTCACCAAAAAATTATTGCATAAGCAATAAACCCTTATTGCAAATCATCCTATGTATGATGGTGAAGTATTAAATTTTGTGGTCATGTTATCATTGGGGTTGCCTTATACATTTAAAATATAGGTATATTGTGAAGATTACTATAAGAAAGGGATTGAGACAAATGTTAAATCCTTTTTAAAATTGATTAGAAAAAGGCTCTATAACACTTATTGAAGAAGATGGTTCAGGAGGAGAAAGAGGAAATAGATGTAATAAACGAATATACTTATAAAAACTAGAAAAAAAAAGTTGACAAATATCTGTAGGAAATTCAAAGAGAATATTTAAAAAAAATAAAATAAAATAATACAATAATCAATATTTATTTTCACCTAAATTGAATTTCAAACATGCACCTCTATATAGTTCGTTAATAATGATTTTTCATTATTTTTAATTATTAAATAAATCCCAAAATCAACTAGATTTAGGTATAAAATGTTGCTATAAAGCTGTATTTGTTTTATCATTAAATTCTGAATATTTTACAAAATAATTTTGAAGTTATTGACAAATTTTTTCATAATAATAGTATAATATGGCTTGTCTCTTATTAGTATATGAAAATTGTAAAATGTATAATAAATTAAATTAAAATGATTTCTAATAAAAAAAAAATTATCGTTAAAATAAAAAAAATTTAAAAATATCGTGATCAACATATGATTCCAAAAACGCGGATATGTATGCTGTACGGATATAAGATCATGGTCACGAGTTGTTATTACTTCTTTCAAGATCCCTTAATTCATCTTTTCAGTAATAATTTCATATTTTTGACGAAGTGAGCATTAATTTCAATCAATCTATCCTTAATATATTATTATATTTGTCTTTATTTGTAGTGTTTCTTCCATATTTATTTGAGTACCTTCTAAAAGAATATCTAAGATACGATCTGGGCTGATATCTAAGCTTCTTTAAAACTTGTATATAATTTGGCGTGAATTTCAAGTCTAATGCTTTGCGCGATAAATTTTTTGTAGACAAGAATGAAATTCTAATACTTGATCGTTAATTTCGTGGAAATCAAATGATTATCAGATGCAATAAATTGATTGCCCAATTGCCCAAAAACTCTAATCATATCATTGGTATGTAATACATAATATGAAAAACAATTTATTGAAATTCGTACATCAATGAACCTTTTAAATGAATTAATGAACCCTTTTAAAGGTTTGAGTGGGAATTTTCTATTTCTCGTTTCTGTCCATAAAAAGGTTTTGAGTGGGAATTTTCTATTTCTCGTTTTTGTCCATAAACAAACTTTGTAAATTTTATTAACCTTATATTATTAGAAAGAAATAAAATGTAAAAAAAAAAAAAAAAATTCTTTATGGATAAACGAAAATGATGAATACTCAGATGAACACTCGATTGACAAATACTCAGATGACAGATACTCTGATGCCGCTGAATAATCTGAGCTTCGATGTGGATATAATGGCTCAGACTTTCAAACACTTTTCTGAAATTCCACAGAATAAAGTTGTTTATCCAACTATTCAAGAAAAACTAAATACCATTTCGGAGGAGAGAAAAAATTTTCAAGAATTTGCCGAACAATCAATAACTCATAGTCTTGTAATGAGAAATCATGCTAGCGATTTGATTACATTTGCTGAGAGTTGTGAAGATGATAGCATTAGTGATGTTGAGCTGGTGGACTTATTAAGAACATGTTTGCGTCAAGCCAAGTCAAATAAGAAGAAATCTGTATTATTAAAGGGCAAACTTGTAGGAATTAAAATTCACTTAGTACGTGTCGTCAAAGAAATTGTTGAACAAAATGATAATATTATGGAAAAACAAGAGAATTTATCTAAAACAATTAGTCAAACAAATAAAGTAAAAGAAGGTGCAATATTAGTTTCAAAACGTAGTGTAATGGCAGCTGGATTGGGAACCTTTGCTGCAGTTGTGGCAGCTCCGTTCACAGGAGGGGTACCGTTGGTTACGCTTGATGTGGCTACGATCGTTAGAAGGTAATTTTTCTTTTTTTTAACTAAATTAAAAAAATAAATAGATCACAATATATATTAACAAACATTTCAAATTTTAATATAATAGTGCAGCTACGGCTACAGTTTCTACTACTGTTGCTGGAGTTTCTTCAATTTACAGCGCCGTTCTAAAATTAATTTATGAATTAAACAATACTCTACCAGAAATGAAAAATTGCCTTGATAATATTGTCATGAATTTATCTCAATATGAAACTTATTGGGCAAGTCAAATTGCTTATATTGATGCTATTATCAATACATTGGAACTTAAGAACAATAGAAGACAAATGGTAAAAACTACCGCCAGGACCATTTCAGATAAAGCGCAAAAGATTCATAGTGAATCTCATGATTTCAGTGTTGCTTTGCGAACTGCTGTGAATGCTGATATGATTAGGTAGGAAATTTACGTAATTAAAATCCTTCATTGTTATTTCTCATTCAGAACTAGTTCTCAAGAGAACACGATGTTATGAACTTTTGATTTTCATAAATAAAGTATATATATTTTAACAATTTCAGAGATTTAGAAAAAGAACCAAACTAATTAAATGAATTTGAATATATTTTATTAAAAAATAATTTTTTTGCGACATTATTGATTTCGTTAATGGTAAATAATAGTATAACAATAATATAAATATAAAAGTTACCTTCGCGAATTCCTTATTCAAATTTTTTCTTCATCCCTTTTTTTTTGTGGCATTTGAATTTCCTTTTCCATTAACAACAACAGTCTTTTCAAATATTCATTTATTACAGTAAATTAAAGCTTTCCTCATCAATTATTGAAGGCGATTTCTGCACTTGATTGATTCTCATTGTCGTCGGGTAAAAAAATGTTATTCATATTTGCCCCATACAAAAAGAAATGAGCCAAATAAATGGATTTTGTTGAGTCAAGATGAACATATAATCAAGTTGTGATTCTCGCAAAGATAAGAATTAAATAGAATCAAGAATTCTGCTTATTTCTTATATTTTTAATCTAAATCCACCGCAAATCAACTCGAGTTTCTCGCGTTGGTAAATTAAAAACTTCTAATAGATCAAGACAAACTAAAATATTTTAGCAAGCATATTATGAAAACCTATATTACCCCAAACCTATGACGAGTTGAGAAAAAGATAAATTCTTGTTCTTTAATCGCTTCGATATATTTATTCGCCAGAAGAATGGGTTTTTTGTTTCGTCATGATTACGAAATGCGAGAAGGATTCATCGTGAAAAGGTTATCATCAAAATATATTAGGATTTTTCCCAATCGTTTCTATTGACAAAATTCATTCTTAATAGCCAACGCGATAATCACTTTTATTTTTTTTTTTTTGGATTTCGAAAGTTCGATTGAAACAACCGTAGAAAGCAAATTATTTATTTAATAAAAAAAAATTTGGTATTGACACCATCCTTCATTCTGGACGAGACCCAGATCCGAACCTAGTAGCTATAATCGTTCGAGAAAGGTTATGCCCCAACTAATATGATGGAATTCATACGATCGTTGAAAATTTAAAAAAATGTATCGAAAATTTATGGAATCATTTATTAGATTGTTCGCTTGATATTTGAGATTATCTTCACACTTCACGAGAATTTACTTCAATTCATCTTTAACGTGTAAAATATCAGAGTTGGGTGGCTCGAGGATTTCAACCATATTTTTTTTGAAAAATGTCAAAAAAAGAGCAAATTATGCAAATCATACTCGAATCAAAAGTGCACGCGATATTTAATAAATAATTTTGGAAAACAATGACCTATTTAAGAATCATATCCTTTTGCATGCATAAAAGGGCTTGAGTGGGAAATTTTAGTTTTTCTTGTTTTCGTTCGTAAACTAATTTTGTAAACTAGAAAGAATTCAAATCAAAAATAAAAAGAAAAAATAATACTTTACGGAAAACGATTGACGAGAACACTCAGATGATGTTTCAGACTTTCGAATACTTTATTGAAATACTACAATATAAGGTTGAAGGAAATGACTTTATTCAAGAGAAAATTATTATCATTTCGGAAGAGAAGTAAATTTCGAGATTTTGCCGAACAATCAATAACTCATAGTTTTGTAATGATAAATCATGCTAGCGTTTTGATTACATATGCTGAGCGCTTTGAAGAAGATGATGATAGCATTAGTGATATTGAGCTGTTGGACTTATTAAGAGCATGTTTAGATCAAGCCAAGTTAAATAAGGAGAAATCCGTATCATTAAAGGACCAACTTGTAAGAATTAAAACTCGCTTGGGACTTGTCGTCAAAGAAATTGTTGAACAAAACGATAATATTATGGAAGAACATGAGAATTTATCCAAAAAAATTAGCCAAGCAAATAAAGTAAAAGAAGATGCAATATCAGTTTCAAAACGTAGTGTAATGGTAGCGGGATTGGTTGCATTTGCTGCAGCTCCGTTCACAGGTGGGACATCGTTGGTTGCGCTTGCGGTCGTTGGAAGTGGAAGGTAATTTTTTATTTTTTTTAAAAAAAAAATCAATTTATTAGAAATTATTAAATTTTAATATAATTAATAGTGTAGCTACGGCTACAGTTTCTGGAGTTTCTTCATTTCACAGCACAGTCCTAAATTCAAATTATAAATTAAGCAACACTATACTAGAAATTATAACATGCATTGTCGAAAATATACAAAAATATGAAAGTTTTTGGGAAAATCAAATTGCCGAAATTGATAACATCATTAATAATTTGAAAAAAATTAAAAATGAAAGGCGAATGATAAAATTAATCTCCAGGATCATTTCAAATAAAGCGAAAGCGATTCATAAAAATTATCATGATTATAGTGTTGTTGTGCAAGATGAAGTGAATACTGATAGGAGTGATAGGAATTAAATTCCTCCTTCATTTTTTTCACATTATTACTTGTTTCTAAGAGATCGCGATGTTATGAATTCTTGTATTTATTTTTTTTGTTACCTTTTTTTTTTATTTGATTTTCATAGTTTTAACAGAAAAAGAACAAAACTAAATAAATGAATCCCAAATATCTTGATCCATTTTTTTGTGGCAACAGTTTTTTTCAAATAATCGTTGCCCAAAACTTCTTTGTTTTATATAAATTAAAGCTTTACTCATCAATTAATGGAGCGGTTTCTGCGTTAGATTGATTCTCATTGTCTTCGGTAAAAAGCTGCTGATTCAAAAATGGGTTTGTTTGTTTCGTCATGTTCCAGAAGGATTCATTCTGAAAAGGTTTATGATTTATTCCAATCATTAATATTGACATCTCATTCTTTATTTATAACACGCGATAATTGATTTCGAAATTTCGATTGAAACAACCGTAGCAAGCAAGTTATTTAATTAATCAAAAAAAAAAAATGTTTTTACACCATCCTTCATATTCTGGACGAAACCTCATATCCGAACCTAGTAGTGATAATCCATTATGAATGCATCAACTAATCTGATGGAATTGGAATTGCATGCGGTCGTTGAAAGATGTAGCGAAGATTTATGACCGGTAATTTTCAATAATTTAAAAAGAGGGGCGTAAAGCTTCTCTGTATTTGGGCAATCTTTTAGCATATTGTTCGCTTGATATTTAATACTTTGTTTCCAATGAAGAGATCTTAAAATTATTAAATGTTTGTCCTTTTAGAAAAATCCAGAGAATCACAGATTTCGCAACCGAATTACAAAGATTATCTTCACACTTCTTAAAATTTTCTTCAATTATTTTTAACGTGTAAAATACCAGAGTTTGGTGGCTCAAAGTGGCAAAACAAATTTTTTATTCTCTGTTTGTGTAACCAATTGCACTAAAACTCCTTTTATTATATCATTGTGCTCAAATCAAAAAAAAAAAATTATTGAAATTCGTTCATCAATGAACCATTTTAAGAACAATCAAACCTTTTGCATGCATAAAAGGGTTCGAGTGGGAATTTTCTATTTCTCATGTCCATTGTCCTTAGACTCTTTGTAAACAGAAAAAGTTTTGTTAACCATATATATATTTATTAGAAAGAAATAAAAACTAAAAAAAAATCTTTACGTAAAAAACGAAAATGACGAATACTCAGATGGACACTCGGTTGACGAATACTCGGATGACAGATACTCTGATGACGAATACTCCTAGCTTCAATGCGCCTAACTTGGTTCAGACTTTCGAATACTTTTCTGAAATTCAACAGTTTAAAGTTGAAGGTAATCAATTTATTCAAGAAAAACTTAATATCATTTCGGAGGAGAGAAAAAATTTTCAAGATTTTGCCGAACAATCAATAACTCATAGTCTTGTAATGAGAAATCATGCTAGCGATTTGATTACATTTGCTGAGTGTTGTGAAGATGATAGCATTAGTGATATTGAGCTGTTGGACTTGTTAAGAGCATGTTTGGATCAAGCCAAGTTAAATAAGGAGAAATCCGTATCATTAAAGGACCAACTTGTAAGAATTAAAACTAGCTTGGGAATTGTCGTCAAAGAAATTGTTGAACAAAACGATAATATTATGGAAGAACAAGAGAATTTATCTAAAAAAATTAGTCAAGCAAATAAAGTAAAAGAAGGTGCAATATCAGTTTCAAAACGTAGTGTAATGGCAGCCGGATTGGGGACCTTTGCTGCAGTTGCGGCAGCTCCGTTCACAGGTGGGGCATCGTTGATTGCGGAAATTCTTGTTGCGCTTGGTGCGGCTACGGTCGTTGGAAGGTAATTTTTTTTTTTTTTAAAAAAAAAAAAATCATAATTTATTAACAAAAAATTTTTAAATTTTAATATAATAGTGCAGCCACGGCTACAGTTTCTACTACTGTTGCTGGAGTTTCTTCATTTCGCAGCACCGTTCTAAATTCAAATTATAAATTAAAAAATACTCTACCAGAAATGAAAAATTGTCTTGGTAATATTGACATGACCATATCGCAATATGAATCTTATTGGGAAAGTCAAATTGTCGAAATTGATGATATTATCAATAAATTGAAACGTAATAAAGATGGTAGACGAATGGTAAAAACTATCGCCAGGACCATTTCAGATAAAGCGAAAACGATTCATAGAGATTCTAATGATTATAGTGTTGTTATGCGAGATGCTGTGAATGCTGATAGGTTTGGTAGGAATTTGCGTAATTAAAATCCTTCATTTTTATTTCACATTCAGTACTTGTTCTCAAGAGAACACGATGTTATGAACTTATGATAAATAAAGTATATAAATTTTTAACAATTTCTTGATATATCAGAGTAGTTAGAAAAAGAACCAAACCAAATAAATGAAACCCAAATAACTTGATCCTTTTTTAGTGGCAATCGAATTTCCTTTATTCCATTAACAACAACAGTCTCTTCAAATATATATTTATAAATCTTCTCAAAATTCTCTACATTGAAGCTTTCCTCATCAGTTAATGGAGGCAGTTTCTGTGCTTGATTGATTCTCATTGTCTTCGAGTAAATGTTTCTGATTCAAAAATTCTTTTGATTTTCATAATTGCTACATACAAAAATGAGCTTGAAAAGACCAATAAATGGATTTTGTTGAGTCAAAGAGAACCTACAATCAAGTCACTAATATAAGGATTGAATACAATTGAGAATTCTTGCTTGAGTAAATAAAGAAGATTCTAAAACTTCTAATAGATCAAGACAAACTATAACAATTCAGCAAGCATATGATAACTTTGTTCTTCTATATATTTATTTTGCCCGGATTTGTTTGTTTCGTCATGAGTTAAAGAAGAATTCATCCTGAAAGAGTTTTAAGATATTTATGATTTATTCCAATCATTTATATTGACAAAATTCAATTCTTAATAGCCCATGCGATAATCACTTTTATTAAGTTATTTTAATTAATCAAAAAAAAAAAAAAAGTTTTTGACACCATCCTTCATATTCTGGACGAAACCCCATATCCGATAATTCGTTCGAGAAAGGTTATGTATGTGTCAACTAATATGCATGCGATCGTTGAAAAATTTAAACAAGATTTATGACCGGTAAATATTCAAAAATTTTAAAAAGACGAGCGTAAAGTTTCTCGGGATTTGAGCAATCATTTAGCAGATTGTTCGCTTGATATTTAATATTTCTGTCCTTTTAGAAAAAATCACAGAATTCTCAAAAGAATTACAAAGTAAAATAACTAGTGAAGATGAATTTTTACTGGAAATATCTTAAAAAGGAGGATAAACAAAAATTGAACCAAATGAATAATAACAAAGGATTCGGAGAACAAGATCAAAAGGCTAGCTGCTGTTGGTAATTTATTATCGAAAACCATATTGAAACTTGAACGAACATGAAAATAAAAATTCTTGGCATTTGTTTGAATTGAAAGAATATGGATATCTTATTAGAAATCCTGAAAGATTTAATGGAAAAATACGACGTCAAAATTGCAGATTGTTGATAATTGAGGAAAAAAAATCTCTTAATTTCTTTTTTTTTGGCCTAAAACAAATGAACTAAACTTAAAAGGTTTCCCATATCATAATAAGTTGCGCGGGTATACGATTTTTCCAAGACGGAAAAAGGTTAAAGATGAGAGAGAAAAAAAAGGTGATTTTTTTTTTTAAAAAAAAAAAATTCAAGGAGCCACATTTTTGAAACTTTTTCAGCCGAGAAATAATCTTTTGATAGTGGCTCATGTTTAACAATTTTAAACAATTTGAACAATTTGAACAATTTGACGATTTGAATAGCAAAATGCTGCGGCATGACAACATAACAAGCGGGCGCATTAATAAGACCGAGTCACCTCGTGGAATAATAGCCACGACAAAGATTATTTGATACGTTTTGAACATTTTTTTTTTTCTTTTTTTTTCATGCCTATTATGTATTTTGATTGTGGCTTTTGTAAAATTATGGATTTGCAGTTTCGGTGGTGACATCCTGCACACTGATATCATTATGTGAACGATCTTTGCAGCATAAACATATATTTATAACTTTTATACAACACTCATAAAGTAACACCATGCATCATTGACCCTGAAAAAAGCCAGCACAGCCTATAAACAAATTATGAAGTTTCAAATAGTTATCTTGAATATCCGAAGTCGAGAGTTTTGTTTGTTTAAAAGGATTTTTACAACCAGGAAAAAAAAAAAAAAAAAATTCCATAAATACAATGGATAATTTTTTGGATTCCCGTCAGTTCTCACAAGTTCTCATTCCATAAAAGAAAAAAAAAAAAAAACTTTATTTGTTTACTATCAAATATATATATATATATATACTTTTTTACCTAACGATCATCATCTATAATATATATATATATATACTGCATATTATATAAAAAAAAACCCCTCGATATAGGAAAGTTTTTTAAATCGATCGAAATGACGAATCAAAAATCAAAGAGTAACGTTACCTCTCAAACAAATTTTTCACGTGCTTGCGTTTTCATCGACTCGAGCAATCCTTCAATGCCTTATCAGGTGATTGATAGTAAAATCCGCCCTTTAATCAAATTACCCTTCCCTCCTGTTATTGATCCAGCTGATTTAGTTGTTCAACAGGCGAATGGGGGGAATATCCCGGCTAGGGCTCCCAATGCGTTCATTATTTATCGAAAAGCATTTATTGATGCTGCGCATACTGATGGATATCATTTACCCATGAGAATCATGTCATCAATGGCTTCTCAATCATGGGAACAAGAAACCGATACGGTGAAATCCGAATATCGTAGACTTGCAAATGAAGCCTTCAATCTTCGAAACGAGTTGTATCCTAAATCCGGATTTCGTAGAAAGCGAGCCAAATGGAACATCGTTTCATTTCAGAACAAAAACAAGGTAACAAAGAAACGACAAAAATGGAACATCGTTTCATTCGAATCAAAAAAATCCGATTTTTCACAAAAGGAACAGAGGGAATCGAAAGAACCGGTCGAAACCCAATTAGAGGTTATTCAGCATATTCCTTCTCCCAAACTATCAACCTTTTCAAGTCCCATATCTCCGGACGAATCAAATAAAGAAGAACTTGTCATCAATGAAAATGATAATAACTATAATAATAATAATAATAATAATAATTTCCCATTTACCGAAATGAATTTTGACATGTCAAGTAATGTGAATGAAATATCACCTTGTAATAACGAACTAGATTTCATTTATCACGATTTGACTCCAAGTCCCGAACTATCGATAACTAGCGGTTTCTCACCTGAAATGAATGATCCAATTGAAAATGATCTTGATTTCTATTATCCCGAACAATCCAGGAACGGAAACTTTGAACAATTTAATATAGAAGAGAACAATTTTTTCAATTATTATCAAATTCCAACTTTTATTTACAATGATTACAACGAACATTTATCGAACGAAAACATTTCATCCCAAGAATATTTTAATGGGTCGGTTAATTTCCAACCTGTAAATGTCGAACCCAATGCGTTACATTTATATGACAATATGAATTATTTTTCAGATGGGTTAGGAATCTCTAACACCGATTTAGGACAAGCTGTTGAATATTTTCGATAAATTGGAACGCATTTTTTTTTTTATTAATCTAACCATATATATATATTTTTATTATACGATATTATATTATATAATCATATTTTATTTAATTTCTTTTTAAATTATGATCATTATTTCTAAGATTTATGATTCTAAGGTTTAAGGAACATAAGATTATAAAAGTAGTTATAAAAAATTTAAGATTTTATGAAATATTAAGATTTATGTACGAGAAAAATTAAGAATGTATGGTCACGCACATGAATAAAAAAAAAAAGTAAGACTTGATTTTTAAATTTTATTCAAGATAACAATTGCATTACATAAATAAATTTGCAACGACCCATTGTTAAAAAAAAAAAAAAAAAAAAAAATTTTTTTTTTTCATTATCTCATACATTCTTCCCAATTAACGGCTTCTTTGGGCAGTGAATTGAAAACAAAATCATCTTTTATCGTTTCATCAATTTCTTCTATCAAATCCTTCTCGAATAAACCGTGGACAGGTTTAAAATAATTATTAAAATCCTGATCTAAATAATTAATTTTAGATTTCAAAAAATCATAACGACTGCAGTTACTCTTCCTAATGGAATTTTGTGGACTAAAATTGAATTTTGTAATCGAAGAACGGCTTTTACGACGTCTCGAAGAAGAAAATCTTGCAACGGGAGTTAATTTGGTTATTTCATCATCATCTTCGCTCTTGACATTGGACACAATAACTGGAACGATTTTATCATCGTCATGATTCGTGGAATCCTTGCCTCTTTTGAGCAAATGTCGATGTTGATATGTATTTTTCACCAAAGATGATGTAAAGTTTTTACAAAAATTTGTTCTTCGGATTATAAGGATTAAGATCACCACAACCACCAAAGATGCGCCCGTAATACCAAAAATGATTAGTGAAGTGTTTAAGGTCAACTTTGTTTCACCTTTCAAATACGAAATTTGATCATTTGAGTATCGTGATGAAAAAGGATCCCTGAACAGGATAGAATCCCGTACATCCTTATTATTTTCTTCCCTCTTCCATAGACTCTCAGTCTTGGCATTTAGTTTATAACGTTCAAAGTTTTGAGTTTCCATTGAATTAACCCCTTTGGTAATTTTTATTTCAACGTTCCTTTCATCTTTTTTTGAACTTATTTTATAATTATAAATTTGTCGCTTTCGCCTATTTATGAATTTTCTTTTATCGTATTCTCGTTTCTTGATGGGAATCATCATTGAACGAAAAATCAAGTAGGTTGTAGTAAATAAAAATTTCCGGCGGTGTAAAAGGCTTCCAATGAGAATGCGCAGAAAATGAAATTAAATAGTAACATGGGAGATTAAGAAAATTGAATTTAAAGGGAAACCTTCAGTTAAACACGAGGAGAGAGGAAAAAAAAAAAAAAAAAAAAGCCCCCTCCCCCCGTAATGAACTCGGAACAAATTTAAGTCAATTCCTCAATTTTACTTATTTATTTATCATAAGAAAAAACGTGTAAATTTTTCTCATTTAAACAAACAAAATAAAATAATATAAAACATGAGAAAATTTTTAAGTGTATGATATTTTGATATTGTGTTATTTGTTTAAAAAATATAATAAAAATTATTTGTTTGTTTTAATAAGGTCTTCACCAATAAATTCTTTCATCTATTTGTTTGTATTGTTACGATGAAGCAAACATAAATACTTAAATCATGATCTTAATCAAGTTCAAAAACAAAGTGCACATCTTGTAGGAGGATCATTTCCGATTGGGCGTAACGGCTAACTCGTGTCATTGCCCTCTAAAGCAAGGGTACGAACCAATGCGAAAACGGGAATTTCATCTTCGTAATTATGGTGGATGGATAAACTTCCGCATGTTCTTGACAATGTCTATCTTTTTGTCAATATAATATATTCACATGTGACGATGGCAAGTAAATGGTTTAATAGGATATATGATTGCAAATTACTAAAAATTAAAACATTCTTCGGTTGAAATATGTTTTATTTTTATATTTTGTTCTCGATTGCCACATTTGGTAATTTCATTCAACACTCTCGGTTGAACAAATTAATTTCTTAAAAAACACGCTAACTGTTATCGTATGGTATGACAATTCACGAGTTTTCTAAATCAAGCCTGTAAACATTGAAGTTTTGAAAAATAAAATATAATGTAGTTACGAACTTCACAAAGGAGTTAAATTGCTTGAAGGAGTGGAACAGAGTTTTTTTTGTTTAAGTTGTTGAAACAAAAGTCCAAAAGAGAATAGAATTGGAAAATTAAGTGAAATAGTAGGTGAAAGTATCTTTACAAAGATGTTGAATTTTGAGGCTACGAACAATTCGAAAAACTTAAACACGAGGAGAAAGATAAAAAAAAATAGAGAATTTGGAATTAAGGGTTAAGGATTTGGAAGCTAAAGTTAACTGTTGAGGTATATATCGATCCTAAATAGTTCAACAGTAAAGATAAGTTGGTTATTAACGAGGAATCCAATCGATAGTTTAATAGGTAATTAAGGGAGGGAACCAAATGCCCGGGTTGTGGAATGACTAATTTTGTAAGAATAGAGCAAGTGTTAATTCTTTTTCTTTGTCTAGACCAACATCCTCTTTGTAAAATCTAAAAAAATTAACCACCCAGCGAGCGACTTAATGTATTAGACCGCAAACTGGAAAAATTAAAAGAACAAGGAACAAAGTTAAACGAGGAAAGCGAGAAGCAAGTTATAGCCTATTAAAAAAAAAATCCTCGGGAGAAAAAAACTTTGATGGCGATAATTACAAAGGCTCTTTAAATACCGAGGAAATAAGTTATTGATATAATAAAGGGGTTTTAGGAAACGAGAACTTCAAGGGCGAGCAGTTTGTTTTATTTCATATTTAATTAATATTTGACGAGATTTGGCGGAATTGAATTCGATTAAATTAATTAACAAAATCATGTATTTATTCAGGAATTAATATTCAATAAAAATATAAAAAAACAAACAAGTTCTAATTCTATATTGCAAGATTTCTTTACTGAATTGTTGAATATTATAATAATTGAATAAATTAACATTACATAAATGTTTACAAAGAAACATACCTAGACGCAAATACTATAAATAAGATAAAAATAAAATAAAATAAGTAAAGATTTCATAAATAGACGTCTCGTGGTTTAAGAGAGGGATCAACGATTGTAACATTGATAAAATTAAATCTTTAATCGGTCTGCAGCCATGAAGGGTGAGAAACCAGCATTTCCGGCTGAACGACGCGGTAATCTATTAAGAGCACGCTTAAGCTTCATTTTAGCAGAATACTCTGGATTAGGGCAAGAATTTTTTTGTTTGAAATCTTCCCAAGATCCAAAGAGATTCTTCACTAAATCATCATCCAATTGGTGTTGTTCTGGCCAAGTACAATAAATTTCAAACGCGACCTTACTACATTCCGAGCATTTGAATTCTTGAGGGACTTCAATTTGAGTACCATCACTCTTATAAACGAATGAATAATCATAGCTAAATACGAAATCTCCATCAGGAACCGTCTCTTTGAGCCAATCAAGAACAGCCTTGGCAGCTTCAATACCGCATAATTCTATGAAAATCGAAACGATTAAAAAAAAATGAAAGTCATCACCAATTTTTTTTTTAAAAAAATATTAACTCTCCATGCTAAATTAGAAACTTACCACCACTTGAGCTCTCATGACATATGAAATCATGATCGGGAATACCAAAATAATATATCAAGACGATTCCATAAGCATAAGCAACTGTTTTGTCAATAGCCGAAGGATTTAGAGTCCAGTCAACGAGGGTTGCTAATTCGGAAGCACATTTTGTTTTAGTCTCCTTCCATACTGGTTCGGCTTCTTCATAAGTGCATTTGAATTCCGCGTCACAAAGTTCCTTTACAGATTCATCATAAAAAGTCATGTTAAAACGGTCAATCTCGGTTACTCCAGATTCGACGTATTTTTCAACAACTTTCTTGATCAGGCTGGCAGTAAAACCGCATGATGATTCACTTCCCAAAGTAGTCCAAATATGAGATTGACATTCGTTACACTTGTCACATACGAATAATTCTTCACACGTTTTTGGTATCGATTGTTCACTGAAATCCGGTATCCCGCAAAAGTTTGCATTAACTTTAGTGATCAATAATGAAATCAGACAGATGAGAAGGATTTCGAACTTCATTTTATCAAAATTTTATGAATTAGAAAGGGAATTAATTGGGAGACTTTGAGAGTGAGAAGATTGGTAGGGTTTTTATATTAGCTTCGATACTGATTTTATGTACAATAAATTACCAGGAAAGGATTAAACCGAAGGTTACAAAGCTTCCCAAGCCAAGATCAAAAGCCATATCGAGAAGCCATTCCTTTTCCCGTAAATGATCGAATGTTATTTATTATATCCATGTATAATTATGGTTGGCTTATCTAAATAAGCCAGAAATTACGCATCTCCGTTGAGCGATAACTGCGCAAATCTACTATATCTTTTTTCTCCAAAAGATGCTGATATGACATGAATCATTATCCACGATCACAGCCAAGAATTCCGGCTAACCAGCCTCACGAAACGAAAATACCCGTGCGTTTTGATGAAAATGCTGATGTCGCGAAATTTAATCCGTGTGTATTACGTGTATATAAATAAACCATTTTAACGCTGACGTTTTACGTCGTTTATTGCGCGCTAACGATATTATAATTTAAAAAGTCTCGACGTGAACTTCACCTCGATCATTCGCAGATACACTGGCAGAAATCGTTTCTTTAACCATTGAACCAGGTCCACAAACGCCAACGGTTTCGTTTCCTGACCCGTGAAATCTCAAGTAACTTTGGTCTTCCATCATGTAAAATTTGTGATATCGAAGTTGGGAGGTCATTATTTTCGGTCGATAGATCCTAAAATATATCCTGATAGTTTGGTTGAATTACTGTTATATCATTCGAGAACCATCTAAGGAAAGGTAAAACAAACGATTAAAATGTATCAATTCCAAAAGTTCAAACACATTTATATTCCTACCGAGATCGGGAACGACCCACACGAAATAAATCGATCGCGTGACAATTTGCATTCGATTAATTTTGTCGATTTACTAAATCTTTTAATATACCTCCGGCGATTAACATCACAATCTCATAATCCATAAATTCTAAACTTGGTTTTCAATAAGATTCATAACCAATTGATTCGACCCTTTACTTGACGCCACCGTGTCGTGAAGTGCGGTTGTATAGCCTCCAATTTTCTTTATATGAATCGAAAATTGTTGGATAGTTCCATAATTTATGAATAAAAATCACTGTATCGCAATTTTATTATTTTCCGCCTTTTTGGATATAATATTAATTTCATTAATTTCTAGATATCTTCGATATTTGACAATAATGTTATTATTCCTAAGATTATTAACTGAAGCTACGGAGTTTGATCTTTTGTAAAAAAACAACCATGGTGATTTTACGCGTTATCTGTGTGATCAATGCTTTTTGAAAAATTTAAAAATCGAAAAGAGAAAAAAAAATAAGGAATGTAATCAGTAGAATTTGAATAGGCCGCCGATCGATCGGGTATATTTACATACGGAATTCATTATCGCGATAGTATAAAAAAGGGAATAAAATCATTTGTATAAAGCTACAAATAAAGTAATTGTAAATTTCTTTTCTTTTCAAAGATTCACTAAAAGTAATAAGATCGTATAATTTTCAAATTTAATAAAAATCAAATCTTCAATTTGATATTTTCTTTTTAATAATAAATTCAAGTATTTCATTGGCTTTCCATGAGGAGCAGGAACTTGTGATCCATCTTATATGAAACTTAGCTATTATCATGGCGAATTTACTAGAAATACCACGCCATAATACGATTCAAAGGTTTGCTTCTTTACATTGGAAATTCAAACAAATTTAGATCAAAACCCGAATGGAGGAAATGGAACTACCAATACCTTGCAACATCGAAATTACATCACAACGGACTTCCTATAATTTCATGTGGACACCAGAATCTTCAACAAGCACAATAGCTAATGTAAATGCTCTTGTTGTAAGAAATTTTGATGCTTTGGTTTATAACAAAAGTTATTTCGTTTAATTTCACCCTTGATAATATTATTATTGGACTTGATAAAAATGCTGTTGTTGTTAAAATTTTTAATTTCTTTGAAAGATATGATTTATGTTGTAATATTTTTTTGTTGGATAGTTTACAGAATATTACTAAAACAACAAAGTCAATGCAAGAAATTCTATAAACTCTTGGAAATAAAATCGAAAAAAAAAAATGTCGAAAAAATTTTTGATATCAGCTATTTACGTGCGACTCGTATTCACTAGTTCCTTTAATCGATCTTTGTGTTTCGCTTTATAAAATTACACGTTTAATTCCATTCAAATTAAATTGTGGAATCGTAACCTCGGATTTAACCGGGGGAGGACAAAAGTATTGCACGGTCAAGAATTAGATAATTTTGTAAATTTTTTAATAAGTAACTGAGCTATATTTTTTAATAACATATTAGCTAACTATTACTTAATGAAACATTTTGTTCATTGTTTGGTTTAGAGTAATGCAAGGTGTAAAATCTAATTTTGAAAAAAATCTCTACTTTTCAATTCTTCGCACGTTATATGTTCTCGCTAAAGGATCAGCCTGTTAGATTTTTGTATGTTTTTACTGTAATGATGGCCTTTTAACGAAAATATAATGCGCAAAGTTAAAAATAGAGATTTTTTAAAATTCGATTTTACGAATTGCAACATATTAAATTAAACAATTAATAAAATATTTCATTTATGCAAATAGATGACCAAAAATGTATCTAATAAAATATGGTTCAGTTACAAATGAAAAATTTATTCATTCTCGACCGTGCAATACTTTTGTCCGGTATGAGGGGGAAAGAGCAATTCCATTTATCCGTGTAAGGTATTATCCATTTGGAAAACAACACGTGATATCCAAATCTTGCAATAATCGTTGATGAGATTACATGATAAAATGGTAGTTGAACTTATTTTGGAGTAAACATCATTCGGTACTAAACCGTTTTACGATAAATGTTTCACAATAAGGGATGCATTTTTAAAGATTGTCAGTATAACATTAATCGTTTTAAGGGTGCATAAATCTCGAGTTATCCGTGAAAATATTTTATATTGAACTTGATTCCTTCATATTATAAACAAATATGTCGGCGTTCATTGATTTAATGACAGCTGAAATTTACAGTATCACAGGTCTTATGGTAAATCGTCCATAACAATCGGATTTTTTTTTTGTGTGTACTATGATTTTGGATATTCCGGTCTAGATCATTCTTATTTTTTTAATCATATACGTATATAATAATTTATTTTTCTTTTTTTTTAAAACAAAAAAAAAAAAAATAAAATAAAATAAGCTACATATTTTTCAATGGCATTTATTTGTAAAAATATTTATAAGATTCTGGAATTTTTTTTATGACCTATTTATTAGCTGCTTTATCTTCGATTTTTTATTTCATCCTTCAAAAAAGATTCTCAACAAAAAAAAAACTTCCAATCCCACCTTATAATAATTCTTAAAATTCATCAAATATATATTTTTTTTTCATCCGGAGCATTTCTATAATGACAAACTCACAGTCAGCGAATTCTACGACAAAAAGGGAGGAAATTGAAGTAACCTCATTTTCCTCTACCGATTCAAATCGTGGTCAAATAGTAGCACTTGCGGTTAAAGAAGCTTGTGCCGTTGCGAGCTCAGGAAGAAATCATCAAGATTGGGATGCCGCTTGTAAACTCATTTCACAAAATAAATCGCTCACAAACAATGAAAAAAGAGCCATTATTACTCTCATATATGGTAAATATGATTTGTAACTTCTTTCGAAGACAAAAATTATTAAAATTATAAATATTATTCCTCTTCCAAAATAAAAATTTCTCATCTACAATTAAAAAAAAAATAATAATAATAATTAATAGATTTAATAATCTCAATCAATTATTCATTTTTCACTTCCACTTTTTTTGTATAATATTTTTTCTTTTTTCTTTTTTTTTATCCAAATTATTCTGTTTTTACTTTACAATATTCGAATACAATAAAGTTGTAAATATTAGGCTTTTTTTTTTCTAAGGTCTAGACCTAGATCACCTAGAACAAAGTTACTGTTACATTACATATTGTAATTTGACACCTGTGAACTGATAAAAGGATCTACCTTCCGTTTGAAACTAATAATGCAATGTAGACGAATTGTAAAAAGAAAAAAATTTACCCGTTATTGGATTTTACTAATGGAACTTTCCAGAGCTGCCTACAGTTTTTTTTTCGAATATACCTGAGTATTTAAAGGTTCGAGTTGGCTCATGGGCCGTATATCGCGCTAAATTTTCACGAATAGATCTTTTCGCGAATGATATATTTGCTTTTAATCGTTGTTAAATTCTCTTAATAAGTTAATTGAGAATCGGAATATGAAAGATAACTATTTATGCTTGAAGTGAATTTACTTCACCGATAGTTAAGCATTAACGAACATAAAGTTATCTGTTCGAAAAGTCAAGTTTTTATTATCGTGTTTTTTTTTTAATAATAACATAATTCTCTGCTTGATAATTTCCAATTCATTAGCAAAGGCATTTCAATCTATAAATTTTACATAATTACTTAAAATGATTTGCTATTTGAATGAATATTCAAAAAAAAAAACCCCCCTAATCCACAAAAAAACTTATATGTTTACTGAATATTTCTTATCGAGCACTCTTTCTATTATTATTGCATTTCAACTTTCTTTAATTAAAAGTTCTTTATACATAGAACCGACTTTTTATCATCATCAAATAAAAAACTAATAGAAAAATCATAAGGTATTTTAATAAATAATGACAATAAAATTTATATTATACTGTATAAAAAAAAAAAAAATGAAATATAATATATGGGGACGCCCGCAGAAAACGCCGGCTTTTACTGTGGGCGTTCCCATATATAAAATTTTGCATTTAGAATAAATGATATTCTACATATATTTAAAGATAATATGGGACCTTTGCAATAGAAAGGGGGGAAACTGCCGGAAAAAATCAATTTTACTTTTATATGCCAAATATGATTTTTAAGTCAAAATATGTTCAGATTTAGCATTAACTCAATTTTTATTTTTTCCAGCCGTTTCCCCCTTTTCTATTGCAAAGGTCCCATATCTTTAATTTTTTTTTTTTAAATCTGCAATATTATGAAATTTATATAAATTTTCAATTTGCAATTTTTTTTTTTTTTTTCCGATGTGGCACTGCCAGTAACTTTATTAAATTTATATATGAGGAAATACAAAGTAAATCGAAAATAAATCTATGCTAAGTACTAGCTATCCCCTGTAGTTATATTACAAACCTGTTTGAATCGACCTATCATCGTCTTCCCCTCCATCAAATCCACTAAGTGCATACTTAATGAAAATTAACATTAGCAAGGAAAGATAAAGAAAACATCAGTGCCTATCTAAAAATCTGAGAACGCGTAGCCAAATTTGTTCGCAAGGTATATCCAAGTCCCCCAGTTGAAAGAGGGGCTTGGTGTCTGTCTGTGAGGCAGAGGTAAACTGGCACTTCGTTTACGCTTGTCTTGTTTAGTAATGCCCATTAAACGCTCTTTGGCGATTAATAAGTTGCAACAGTGTTTCCAAACGTCATTGTATAGCTTTTGGTGAAAGAGGAGCAGTGAGCGTGAAATGATGGAGAGGCATCGCTCTTTATTGCCAGTTATTTTGTGAACAATATCTGTCAGGGAAGATGAAATTCTGGATTGAATGATGTCTATGTAACCATTAGAAGCATTTGAAGGTGATGCGAAGGCGTTATTAAGTACATCCTCTAATTCAGTTTGGTACGCTATATATCTGGCTCTGTATGAAGAGCTTAGCTGGTCAATAAGATCATTTTTGGTAGCTGAGATCATGTTCATAATTTTTGAGAAGTACAATAGACATGTCCAAATATGGAAAGTAGTTTCAGTAGCAACATTGCAACTCACACAAGGCTAGTGTTCATATAAATCAGGTCGTAATAATATGAGGCATGACAGTGAAGGAAGTTCGTTAATGAAGTTTTTAATTATGAATGATTTGAGTTTACATGAAGCAAATGATGTAACGAGAGAAGAGGTGTTTATTGAAAAAAGATTTCAGATGGTGAACTAATTGATAGATTTATTTAATGTGAGTACTCTGAGTTTGTCATTCCTGTTCAAATCCAAAAAGTTGCCAAAAGCTTATGCAGCAAAGAGTTGCTTGAGAAAACCTCTAATAGAAACCTCAATAGGAATATTATTAAAGCAAAATGAGAAATCTGATGAGGAGATATTATTAAGTAACAAGGATAGAGGAGGTGTATTGCATCCATCTTTAGCTAATCTATCCGCTATTCTATTGTAATAATTTCTAGCGTATGCTTTGATTTTGTAAAGTGAAACTTGGAGGTTAAGGTGATCAGTGATGTATTGGATAATACTCCAGATCTTATAATTGGAAACTTTTTCATGCTTTCTCAGAGAGAGATGATTGAAGAGCACATATTTATTAAAACCATGAATTGTTGCCTGGCTATCTAGGTAGACATCCACCACTGCGTTGTTTAGGGATACTATGAGAATAATGAGGAGAGCATACATTTCAGCTCGCATAGAAGAAGGCCAATTTGTGAGTGAGACTTTGAAGGTAAACAGACCATTGTCAGGATGTAAACAAATCTAACTAAATCCCATTTTACAGTTGTCTGTCCAAGGTCCTATTAAGGAGCCATCTGTATAAAATGTAAGAGCTATTGCATCAATGAAGGTGGATTGCAAATGTTTAAGCTTGGGTGAGTGTATCGATGGTTAAATAAGAAGGTCAATAATGTTATCAGTGAGCAGAATTGTTGAAGAAGGGTCATTGTATAATTTGTGAAAGATTGTATTGGTGATATGAGATATTTCCCTAAATGATTGTTTGGGTTGATTCTTGACTGTATATGATTGCTTAGGAATGGTCTGAACTAAGTATGCCAGGGCATTAGGAATACTAATAATGCAATGCTCAGATGAAACGATCTGTCTAATGAAAGAACAACCGGAGTATTTAACAAGCTGACAAACATTATTATAGTTGATGTTGTGGGTGAAATAGTAACAGATAAGATGGCTACTGTTTAAGACATCAGCTATAATTTTTCCAAAGGTTAGACCATTGAGCGTTGTGTCTCAGGTTGATACTATTTCTTTTATTTGGCTACTTAAGGTAGACATTTGAGAAATGGTTTTGTAACATGGTAAGGGGGAAGCTAGTCTGAATTCTGGTTTGATCAATCTATGTACATGACTTTCTAAAACTATGTTGTCTAATCTATAGAAAAAATCAAATGAATCAAATCTTTTTGACTGGTGGTCAAAATCCCTGAGAAGAAAACCAGAAGTAGTAATTAAATGATGACCTGAAGAAGAGATTAGTTGATCTAGAAAATATAAGTTATAGTTAGTGAGAATCTTGTTATATCATTTCAGTAGACTACTAGAAAAGATATTTGTGATAGGTTGGATGCCTCCAGTAATTTATTCATGAGGAGAGGAAAAACATTAAGAGAAAGTTTTGAGGATAAAGAGTTAATAAGGGAAAGGAAGGTATCAATTAAGTTTCTATGTAAACTTTTGTTAAAAGAATGTGGCCAATAATTTAGGGGGGATGTAACAAGAATATTGCTTGATTGTAATTAGTAAAGTCAAATTAAAGAGATGTTCTTATAAAGGGATGTGTTATTAAATTAGTAAATAAGAGCAGTTGAAAGGGATTTGATTTGCAGTGACCAAAGGTCACTTAAGTTATAGAATTGTTTGGAATTCAAAAAGATGTTAAGGAGGGTAAGTGCAAATTTATTTTTATGTTTGAAAAGTGAATGTATGGGAGCGAAAATTTTATGATATTCATTTTTTGAAAGGGGTGTCAGCTGCATACGATACTCTAGCAGGGGATATAAAACCATATTGATAATATAAAATAGTTGTTTATCCGTTAATAGTTTATATTTTATAGAAGTGATGAAACAGTTCACATCGAACACGAACTGCTTCTTGATGAATGATTGAGCTTTCTGACTGTTAATTCACACACCTAAAAACTATACTGATCCTTTTTCAGGAGTAATACTGATATTGGTTTAGCCAAATTTGATAGGAACAGGAAGGATATCAACATAGCAGGTCGTCAACAGTTTTGATTTCTCTTTGTTGAATGCAGATCTGGTGAGATTATAAAATTCATCTACAACGTGTAAAATTTCTTCTAGGTCTTGTTTGGAACTAGCCATTCAGTTTGTATCATCCATAAATGCAAGTGACGAAATGGAGGCTGATATAGTACTGGTATTCATAGAGGTGATGTCAGAAATCCAAGTATAATCAATTGTATAGCCTTTATTTAGAAAGCCTACTTCGCAAAGTAAAGGATCCAGGTAGATACACCACACTAAAGGAGAAATAACTTCTCTTTGATCGATACCTATCTTGATATCATATAAGTCAATGGTTTCCTGTGCGATAAATACAGCGTTTCTTTTTGAGGTAAAGAGATTTATGATAAGTTCAATAGTTAACTTAGGGACTTTGATTCTGTTTAAAGCGAGATGAAGATAAGACAAATCTACACGATCGTAAGCCTTAGAAAGGTCTTGCAGTAGAATTCAAATTTCTTTATTATTCCTGATAGCATTCTCTAGTAGCATATTAATAATTTTTATAGATAGTTCTATTGATCCTCCTGGTAATCTAGCAAAGTTTCCTCCCTTGAGAATATTGTGGTTAGCTAATATTCAAGAGAGTCTATTGGTGATGATCTTAACAA